TCGAAGTGAAGTTAATATAATTTGACTTTATGCAGCCCTTATCCCACGTCAAACTGGCAGAGTTCCAATCCATTAGCACTATATTCGCGTCAGCCACGATGATTTAGCTCCAGTAGTTTCGCCTATTGTAAAACGAAATTTCTGCATTGCAGAGCTTGCGCCTCGCTTTATGTTCGGGATTTTGTCACTTACAGAAGAAGCTTCATTTCTAAATTAGTTCGGATTAGATTTTTAACACCTGGATCTCTTGATCATTCTTTCTTTTCTTTTAGTTATGTGGTCCGATCATGTTTCCTTCATTATTTCTTGTTGTTCCTTTTCTTTCTTATTTATTTCGCATCTTTTTTCTTCAGTCTAGTATTGACATATCTTTTACATCTGCTCACATCTTCCATGTTCCCAATGGGTTTTGTACTTAAGTTATTTTCATAATAGAATGAAAGATTGAGAATTAGAGCAAAGCTCTTCTGCATGTTCTGCCTTGCTCCTTTCTGCCATGCTTTTCCGAAAAAAAGAAAACTATTCGGTAAACTCTTTCTTGATGACAAAAGAGGCTGAGCGGTTTAGGGTCCATAATGTCGTTGGCAACGGCTATAACTGCGATCACACCTCCAAATGTGTCCTACATTCAAATGGACTCGCTTGTGATTATGAAAATAGTAAAACACGTAGACAGCGAACTTTATGCTGGAATGAGTGAGGTAGTGCTACTTTTCCATTTTTCCCCGTTCATGTGCTTTATATTACTTCTGTTCTCTTTAGGTAGCTGGCGAAGCTTGTCAAGGTCTCCTAACTGGTCTAGTCTCAGTTGAAAAAGATGATAGTCGATTGGAAATCACCAATTGCTTTCCTACTGCAAGAGCTGAACCTGTGCTGGAAAGCGACGAAAATGCAGCCCAAGTCCGTGTGTTGTTATGTAAACTTTTTCTTTTTACAAAACTCGTCTCCTGCTGGGTGAAACTCGTATTACTACCAATTTTTTTTGAATTGCCACTTTTGAAGATGTCATTTATCAAATTTTTAATCCTCAGGCCAATCAAATGTATGAAGAACTCAAGCAACAAGAAATGTTGGACATGTTACGGAAATTTAGGTTTAGATATATTACCTTCGTCTCGAAAATGTCTAAATAAGTTCTGTACAGGAACATGAATATCGACTATGAATTGGTCGGATTTTACCAAGCGCATCCATTTGGAGCTTGCTTCTCGCAGGACCTTGTTGACTCCATGTTTGATTATCAGAGCAACGGACCCGATGG